TGCATGCCCTCGCGTGCCTCCATGTAGTCGTCCAGGCCCTCGTTCTCTGCGAAGAAGCGCGCGCGCTGGCACAGGTACGCGTTCTCGGCCTCCACGCTGGCGAAACTGAAGCACTTGGTGAAGCGCAGCCTCGTGGCCGGCGCGCCCTCCAACCCCACCAGCGTCTTGGACACGTCGCGGACGCCACAGCGCGCGTAGTCGAACTCGGCCTCCGCCACGTGCGTGTTGACGCGTTCGTGGTAGACCTGCGGCGCGGGGGGCAGGCGGCTGGGTCGCGAGGAGCCCGTCAGCGGTGCCCGCTTCTGCCCACTCACCCTGGCCCGCCCCATTGCTGCTCTGGTTGCCTGGTCGGACCCTAAGTCTGTCTTGGTTTAGATGCCGGCTGGAGCTGGTTAGGATCTTTCCGAGTTGCAGAGCAACTGACGCCCTCTGCATAATCAGACGTGAGGACCGGACTAGAACCAGCCCCACCTGTGCGTATTTAAATTCTAACTAAACCCTGCGTCCTCTAGGAGTCAGGCCCTGGCCACGAACTGCCCCTCTGGCTTGCCTGATCCATTTGCCACTGCCTCTGTTTTCCAAAGTGCTCCCGCATCACCACAAACAGCCTTCTCTTCTTCTTTCTTCCCTTTTACAATTGTGTTTCCAAATGGGTTCCCCAGAAGCACTCCCTAAAGAACCCCTCTGTCTCTAGTCTTCCTGTTCAGGCTATAGCTATCACTCAGCCTCCTTCCTGCTTCTCACCGGCCCCAGGCTTCTGTCTGTTGATCCTTATACTAAGACAGATGGCCTACATCTGGGAATGTCTCCTCCAGGACTCCAATATGTCTCATCCTGGCGAGTCCACAAAGTGCTGATTGACCTGCCCACCCCCAGTGAGACTTCCTACACCCACCTCTTCTTAGACCCTTGAACTTGAGATCCAGGAAGCTGGGATTGAGCCTAGCACTACCACTTAAGAGCAGCAGACTTTAGACAAGTCACTGAGTTTACGTGTCCATACCTGTGAAAGAGAACTCGGTAGCAGTCACCTCACTGAATAGGTAGAGCATGCTATGATATTGGGCATGTGAAGCCATCTCCAACCATTAAGCACTAATTTTTTTTTCTTTTTTCTTTATTTTGAGATGGGGTCTTGCACTGTGGTGATCACAGCTCACTACAGCCTCAACTGCCCAGCCTCAAATGATTTTCCCACCTCAGTTTCCTGAGTAGCTGGGACTACAGGTGCATACCACCACACCAGCTACTTCTTTTTATTATTTCTACAGATGGGGTGTTACTATGTTGCCACGAGGCAGGCTGGTCTCAAACTCCTGGCTCAAGAGATCCTCCTGCCTCACCAAAGTGCTGACTGAGGTTACAGGCCTGAGCCACCACACTCTGCCATTAATCACCAAATAGACCCATTAAGCACTAAACAGTATACAGATCCTGGAGCCAGATTCCTTGAGTTCGAGTCTCATCTCCACCACATACTGCCTATTTGACCTTAGACACGTTACTTAAACTCTCCAGGCCTCAGTTTCCTCATCTGCAAAATGGGAATACCTGCCTACCTCATAGGGTTGTTATGAGGGTTAAATAAATGATTTGATGTGTGTAAAATACTTAGAGCAGAGCCTGGCTCCTGGTCGTTGTTTGCTGTTATGACTATGGTTGTTGCTATTGCCCTGCTGTTGCAATGCTCATGGGAGCTCACTGCTGCCTTGTGCTCCTCCCACCTTCCCCCCAGGGAGGTGGGGAGGGAGTAAGGCAGGGCCAAGTGCCACCTCCCATGTTGAATGTCTTGCACTCCCCACCAGCTCCTCACCTGGGTGGTGGTATAGGCGTCTCCGTTGCGGTACCTGGTGACCTGGCGGGTGCGGCGGACATAGTGGTAGCTGATGGCCTTCCACCAGATGCAGGGTGTGGCTTGCTGCATGCGGCCCACACGCTCCCGCACACTGCTCACATCAACACGGTGCTGCAGCTCATGGCGGGCTTGGCAGTGCCAACACTCCACCAGGTAGACGGCATACAACATGAGCAGGAAGGCCAGGGGGATGTAGACATAGCCGTTGGAGCAGGGGCTGTCATGGTACATGAGGCTGTTGCCCTGGTAGGCGCTGCTGAAGGTGAGGCGCGTCACTGTGGTGACGTGGCACCAGGCCACTGCCCCCAGGCAGCCGTACATGAGCAGCGAGAGCAGGAGGCACTTCCAGTGGGACTCACGGCAGAGGGACTTGGTGAAAGAGGGCTGGATGGGACGCTGCTGCTCAGGTGGGCAGGGAGAGGGGCCGAGATGAGTGGGAAGCGAGAGCAGGCAGGACCCAGCACAGAGATGGATGCAGGGATGGAGGGGCAGAGGCCAGCACCAGAAATAACAAGCAAAGAGAACAAGGATATGGAAAGAAAAGGTGAGACCAAGATGGAAGTCAGGGGCCAGAGGTAGAAATGGAAGTGACACAGAGTGAGCCATGAGGATAGGAAAGGGGACCAGAATGCCAGTACAGGCAAGTGCAGAGAGAGACACCCCAAGAGGCAGAGAAAGATCAGAGCCAGAGATGGAGGCCCAGGCAGCAAACACAGATGGATAGGATGGTACCCAGAGAGTGTCCAGAGACAGACATAAAGAGGGCAATGAAACAGGAGAAGGCGTGGACAGGGAAGACAGGGGAGGACAGACAGACAGGCATCAGCGAAGGCAGGTCCCCAGCCCAGACCCCTTCCGGGTCCTCTAGAAAAGGGGGAGGGACCCACTGACATCACCTCCCCACTTAACAAGTGGGGCCCTCACTTCCAGATTTGTTTCAGTCCTAGGTTCTAGAGGAGCTGCTCCCCTCCGACCCATCCACCTCCCTAACCCTCACAATTAGCCTAACACCTCCTTTGGAGAAGGGCCTCCAGAGAACCCCAGGCCCTGTCTCATTCCCCGTGTTCTGGACCCTGGTTCCCCTGTGAGTCTTCCTCCTGTGCCCTGACATCCTTCCCTTTGTCCTAGGATGGGAGGGAGGGGGCTGGGGTCCCTGAGCGGCAGGCAGTCCAGGAGGAGGTATCCAGAAGGGCAGAGGCATGTGGCTGAGGAGAGGACAGGCATAGGGGATGTGGGACCAGGGTAGCGAGGACAACGTTTGAAGCCCAGCAATTTGTCAAGAGAAAATGATTTTTGATAATCTCCTGGAGCCTGTCTGTTAAAGCACTTGGCACATTCTGTCCCAGGGTTGGCCCAGGATTTGTTTACATGTCGGGCTCCCCACTAGATTGGGTACTCCTGAGGACCCACACTTCATTCTCTTTGCATCCTAGGTGCCTACCATGGTGCTGGCCCCCAGCAGCCACATCCTAATTGAGTGTTGAGTTTGATTTATTGTTGTGGCCTGTTTTCCCACCCCTCCTCTCTGCTTTCTAGCTTTAGGAACCCATCCCCCGACCACACACACACACACACACACACACACACACACACACACACAGCTGCCTGCTGGGATCCTGACTTACCCCCTCAATTCCTCAAGCCTGACCTAGAGGCCAGCCAGGGAAGAGAGGAAAAGAGTGGAAAAGAAGGTACAATAATAGGCATCGAGCCCTGGATCTAGAAGTATGGATAGTTAGGCGAGCTAGGAAATAGCACACAGTACATGTGGACAAGGAGGTTAGGGTACATGTGCCTTTCGGGGAGCCTTGTCCTTAGGAGGTATGAACACATGGGCCCCTTCGTGTGCCTACCTGGTTGTGCGCTTGTCCCCATGTGGGTACCTCTGAAAGGGGCTTTACCTGCAGGCCTATCCCCTCTTGTGTGCCTCTGCCCTAGTGCAGGGTGCATGCGTGTGCACAAGTGTGCATGGGAGGCTGGAGTGGGGGTGCTCTTGGTACTTTCCTCCGTCTCTTTGTCTTCAGGTTCAGAGGACTGAGGACTACTGACCCCAACTAGGGATATGAGGAAGCAGCAGGAGCCTCGTGAGAGGTGCACACCCCCCCTCCCACACACACACTCCCAATGACCACAGGGGGGATCCCCCTGTACACATCTGACCTCCTTAGGGTCCTAGATCAGGTAACACCACCACTTCCCCATGGTACCCTCCTTGTTCTGTAGCCCCTACAAGTCTCCCTTCCTGGCCTTCAAGGTAGCATCCCCCTCTGTGAGACAGGATCCCTGCCACCGTCCCCACCCCGGTAGAGCCTAGCCCCCTCTCTCATAAGCCCAGGGTCCGCGAGGCTCCGCCCCTAGGCCCCTCCCCC